CGGGGCGAGGCGAGGGCCACGCCCCCAGCTCCCCTCCCGCACACCCAGCCCCCCAGTCCCCGCGGGGGGGGGCGTTGCACCCCACTGGGGTTTTGGACCCGAGTGTGGGGGGGTGTTGGTGCCCCAGCGCCGCCGCGGCCCCGGCCTTGTGTAATCCCGGGCGGCGCCTGTTTACTGCCCTCCCCGCTCCGCCAGCGGGCAAAGTCCCCCTGAGGTGTGGGGTGTCCCAGTGGGGTGGGGGGCAGAGTGGTCAGAGCCCCCCACCCGCGGTGGCAAGATCACCGTGGGGTGCATGCAGTCCCCATTACCCGGCGCTATATAGCCCCCAGCTCGGTATTGCCCCGAGCACCACCGCAGCCGCCCGCCTGAGGCCTGGCACGCTCGTGCCATGCCACAGCAAGGTGCCAGGTAGCATGGAGGAAGGACGGAGCTTTACCCCAAATTCCCGGAGCCCACACTGAACCGCGATGCCCAGCGGGTGCTGGGGGTGAGGGGGCTCAGCTGGGGGCCGCCAGGGTGGGGATACTGCTGGACCACCGTGCTGGGACGCGTCCCAGTGCCCAGCAGGGAGGGGACCGGTAATGCCCTTTATTGGATCAGCCGTGGAGCTGGAAAAAGTGCCACCCACCTGGAAGTATTCTGGGCAGGGCAGCACCCCAAAGGCATGGCTCATACAGGCATGTGGCGTGGCCCAGTGTGCCCCACCAGCTCCCAGTTGCTGCTGGTTCATTTTCCAGTAGTGCCCAGCGCCCCGCTCCTGCACTCGGTGCTGTAGGAGACCACGCTGGCCACCTGGACTCAGCCACACGCGGAGACGTGGGTGCAGAAACCAAGCGGGGAGCGCAGCGCACCCACCGCCTGCGTGAGCGGGGACACGAGCTGTGCCGGCAAGCGCCGAAATTTGGCCTAAAACCAGAAAAACCCGTTGAGCAGAAAGCGGCACGGTCCCTTGAGGCTGGGGGTGACGCCCAGGGCTTGCACCCGGCGGGTGCCGCTGGCCTTTGGGTGCCAGGCTGGACGTGGGGTCCTGTTGGAGCCCCTCCAAGCTGGGTGCTGCCTTTGGGTCTTTATTTTCCTTCCTTTCCCCTCTCCCTGGGGAGAAGCCTGGCACGTGGCTTCGGAGAGAAGCTGGCCAGGGTGGGAAATGGCCCATTTAATCCAGTAAGGCTCTTAGGGCCGCACTGACGGTCACGCTCCCCTTGTCAGCTCCGGCCGTGGGGGTCAGCCTGCAGCCCCCTCCCCACAAAAAAACCAGTGTGGGGGCTTGCACGGGGCAGGGGCACGACCGGGGCTGGGGGCAGCAGGGTCTCCTGGAGGAGGGTATGCGGAGAGGGACACCGGCAGCAGCAAAGACCCCTCTGCGGGGTCGCGGGGCCACTGACATGGGGGTGTCTGTGGATCTCCGGGGGGGTCCATGCAGCTCCATGCCCCGCAGCCTCGACGCTGGCGTAGCTGCCCTGCCACGGGGCACA